TTGCCCACATGTGGGCAACCCAGCCCACATCCCCCCACCAAAGAGCGGGGCCCTGGGCCAGGCCTCCGAGCCTCCAGAGTCCCTCCCCAGTCAGCCTGCGTGACCGGGACTTTGTTTTCTGCGACTCGAGGCGGGGACGGGGAGGAGCCGAGGTTTCCAAAGCGGCGCGCAGGCCCGAGCCCCCTTTCTGCCTGGCCCGCTTGGCGCGGCTCTCCGGCTGCCACAATCCGCCCCTCGCACAAAAGTGGCCCGGCAGGTTCCCGGCCACAGCCAACGCGCCCGCTCCGGCTCGGCTTGGCTGCCATGAGCGGAGTCAGAACGAGCCAGGAGTACCGGGAAGGGGTAACTATACGCAGGTCCAAGGTTTCTCCCACCCCAGGAGTTCCTGGCGCCTTCGCGGACGAACAGGTTCTGGAGCGAGAGCGCACCTCGCAGAAGAATGGAATCGCGCTGCACACGCGTGTGTATTTATTTCGTTTGACCGTCTCAGGGCAACGCAAACTGAGAATCCGCGCCTCGCATCTCTGGAACATCCACTTGGCACAGGGGGACGCACGGGGAAGGACCACAGTAATTAACAAGGGAACGGGATGTGGATCGAACTTGTAACCTACATCCCCATTCGGGGTCACAGGCAGGACACATGGCAACATGCATACAGTTCGCCGGGTGTTGGGAGAAACTTCGAACCCGGCCCACGATGCCCACAGGGCCCTGTCCAGGGGCATCCAGAATTGGCAGCCTTGTAACACGAGGATACACACAGACCTGGGGCACACGGCTCCCACACTCCCGTGCCCAGAGGGCTCCAGCCCGGCATGCGCGCGCTGCGAAGGGGACGCAGCGGCAGGACACACGCGCTCCGCGCACCCTGCCCCGCGCCCCACGACCAGATAGTCATCGTGGGATGGCATCTCGCAAATATTTATATTCCTCAGCGCCGTGGCAGCCCGCGTCCACATTAGACGCCCTAATCCTGCCACTTTAAATAGATGAATTAATAAAGCAAACGAGCGGCTAATAAGCTGACTGTCCTGCCTTTTTGAGGCGGGGGGAAGGACTCGAAAGTGCGCCAAATTTGTTTGCAGTGGATCAAGGCGAGCCGCCTCTGCTTCACTTTCTTTATCTTAATTCCGACTTGAAAAGATATAATTATCTAGTTTGAACAGAGCTGCTATCAAATCCTTCTTTGGGCCGGGAAGGGGGGCGTTGGAGTGGATTGCGGCTCTCTGAGCCGCTCCGTGCAGCCGGAGATAGCGCGTAATGAAGATGTGGAAGCCTGAGATACAAAGGGCATTAACCTCATTAGCATGAAACCTTTTCTTCTTACCATTGTGGGACCCTTTCAGCCGCCTAATCCCCCCTATTTTCAAAGCTTGGTTTGTAATAAAGCTTTTAGTTTTTTTTTTTTTTCAAAGCTAATAGTATTCTCTGATGATTTTATTGCTGTTACACTACATAGGACGTTTACCCAAAAAAACCCAAAAAACAAAAAAAACTTCACCCCCTTTTTCTTGTACTACTAAATAAATAAATAAATAAAGTAATTGTTCCTACATAAATAAGCCTTTTTTATCAAGATAGGAAATTTTTTTCTAGAAAGGCCAGTCTGAATTTTAATGGGACTGTGCTTGGTGTTTGAGGCATTCCGAGTTTTGGAAGGTGGGTGGAAGGCAAGGGTAAGCAGTGACTTAAAAGTGCTCAGGACAGATAGCACTCATTGAGGGTCATGCTGTGGAAGTGGCTTGAAGCCCCACGAGGGTTTCCAGGATCCTCAGAACCACACCTGTCCCTGCATGAGGCAAACTCAGGTCTCCTGAGGCCACCCCTTTTTGCTCTAGCATCTCCCTGCAGCGAAGTCTCCCCCACAACACACCTTCCAAAAGGGATCTGTGTGAAAATGCACTATGAGCTGCCGGGGTTCTACAGAGGGGCAGAGCCAGAAAGAAAAAGGGGGAGACAGGCAGAGATAAAGGGGGGGAAGAGGGAGAGAGATGGAGAATGAATTCTACTTTAGAGAAGGGTAGGGAAAAAAGAAAGAAAAAATTTCCATAGTGCCCTATAGTCCCCACACGTGCACGGAATGTCTAATCTTAACTTTTCAAGGCAGGATGTTAACAAAGCTTGTATTTTTGCCCTGCATTGTAACTTGGCCTTATCACAGTGTAAAGGGTGGGGAGATTGTCCTAAATTATGTCCAGGCAGCCCCCCTGGATCCGTGGATTAAGAGATTAAAGGAGACCACTGGGCAAGGCCTCCTCTTTCCCCTTCATATTCCTGGTATGATAATTGCTTAAACTGATTTGCACTTTCACAAAAGCTCACAGGACGCTTTGTAGCTCGAACAGAACAGACGAGGTTTCTCTATCAATGGAAATAAAACTGATTAATGCAGCCTATCAGGATAAGAAGCAAATGAAGCATGCAAAAACAACCTCGTACCCCCAGAAGGGGGAAGGAGGGAGGGAGAAAGCTAAGTTTCCTCCAAGATTAGTTACAACTTTTTCTTTAATGTTAAAATTAAGAGTTGAAGGTTTCTCAGAATGCTTGCCTTATAAGGCTGCTGAAGCCCTTGGGTTCATCCCATCACCTTCAGCAGATTGGGGCTAAGGAGAGAAGAGGGAAGGAAGGAAGGAAGGAAGAGAGAGTGAGAGAGAGGCTGACTTGTACTTTGGGGGTTGAAGTCAGAAGCAAAGTTTAGGAGTCCCAGGACTCTGATTCTGTTAAGTGTCTTCTCCAATCCTGGGGGAATATTCATCAATGCATAATTATACGTCTGATTTTTTTTTTTTTAATTCAGAGGTTAAGAAAAGAAGTAAGCATTTTTAACCTGAAGTTCAAACTAAACTCTCTCAGTAGGGCACGCAACGGGCAAAGGTCTGATTGGAAAATTTTTCTCCCATCCCTTTTCTGAAAGACTTAAATTTTCCTAATCTCCCTTCTCCATCCTCATCCCTTTTTAAAATGCCCAAGGATCTATCAGTCTGGCCCTTTTGTGGGTGGGGAGCCTGAGTTTCTTGAGCCTAGTTGGGGAAGGACCACACTCAAATTCTAGATACTTTTTTAAAAAGAAGATCCATTTCAAATTCCCAAGACGACTACTCTGAGGGCATATTGATAAATCTTTATTGACAAAATATTGACATTGACATACTTCTTGGAAGTATATAGTGTGTTAGAATTCTAACAAATTAACACAAAACACAAAAATATTTACATTCTGGTATAGAAGACATTAAGGAAGCATTTGTCACTCTCTTTAGTAAGTCTATGATCTTGGAATAGAAACTCAGTGCTTGAAAAGTTGCCGTCGCGTCCTTGGCCACACTTAACATCATCCCTGCTAACTACAGTCCTTCAGTTTTTGCAATAGATAGATTTAAAGTTTGGAATGGCCATTACGGTGAGTGGTTGAACTCAGCCAATTTCTCCAACCACTAAAAGGAGACGTTTACCTCGTGGTTTTAAGCCTCAAAATATTAGGAAAGGGAATGTCCAAGAAATATAATTAATTTAGGGCTTTTTTTCCAGTACAAGTCCTGACTCTCCTTGTGGGCACCCTCCCTCGCCACCCCCAGCCCCCCGTCCTGCTCCCCATTTCTCTGTAAGAGGACCACTATTGCTGAGCCTACTTCATTTAGCTTTCACAATCACTGACATTAGAAGGTATCAAAAAGTGTTTACAGACTGCACATTTTTTCTGCACATTTCAGAAAAAAAAAATCAAAATAGAAAGCACACAGAACCTGTCTTTAAAAGGAAAGGAAAATTACAATTCCTTTTCTGTCTTTAGACACCATTCACCCAACAACTGCTACATGCAATTCAAGTTTTTGAAACAGGTGTAGGGTGGGGCTAGATATGGAATTTTGCTTATTACTAATTATTTTTAAAGATTGGGGGGAAACACTGCGAAGTGCAAAATAAAAAGTCCTGTGCCTGGTTGGGTTTTTATTTCTTTTTTCTTTTTATCATTATCATTATCTTTTAGGTGGACTGTGATAAACAGAATACCTGCCAATCATCTCCTCTGGCTGGCTTGGCGTTTGACTGACAGTTCCCCCTGTCAGAGCTTGCGCTCAGCTTTGCCACATTCAGATCTCTCTCTCTCTCTCTCACCCCCCTTCCTCTCTCTCTTCCTCTCTGTCTCTCTCACTCACTCACTCAGCTGCCTCTTTAGACGTGGGTTGCACGTTGATGAAGGAGCCTCCGTCCTCTGCCACCTCGACGCGGCCTCGGATTGGGAGTCTGAGCCCTCGCTGCCCAAAGTCTGCGACGCGAGCCATTGCTCCCTCTGATTCCTCCTCCCTTTCGGTGAATGTGTGTGCGGTTTGTTTCTGTTTTGTAGGATTTTTTTCTTCTTCCCCTCCTCTCCTTGTCTGTTTTGCTCCGTCTTGTCCGTTTCTGTGGGGTTAGGTTTGTGTTTTTAATCGTCTGAGGTCACGTCTATTTCCTCCGGACTCGCCTGCTTGGTGGCGATTCTCCACCGGTTAATATGGTGTGTCCCTTTTTTCTTTTGTTGCGAATCTGAGCCTTCTTCCTCCAGCTTCTGCCTTTTGAACTTCGTCCTTCGGTTCTGAAACCATACTTTTACCTGAGGACGAGAGGCAGATGGGGGCCCGTTAGTTCAGAGCGCCTTGCTACCAAGTGCCTGATCTCTCCACCCAGCCCACCGACCCCTGTCCCAGACTGTGAAGGCCCAGGCCCCCAGATGCATATCCTATGGGTGGGACTCCACAGGGCCTCCCCTCTGAGAGCAAGACCCCAAGTGTGTGGTGGGTGGGATGGACGGCTCTCTGCCCTTCTGAGCCCTCCCAGCAAGTCTTTTTCCCCAGGGTCCCAGGACCCCACCGCCCAGAGTGCACCAAGCCCCTTTCTCTCCTGGCCCTGTGCAGGGCACCCACATCCCGCTGAGAGCAAAGGCCTTGCAAAGCATGGGAAACCCCTATAAAAATAATAAGTAAGGNCAAGTCTTTTTCCCCAGGGTCCCAGGACCCCACCGCCCAGAGTGCACCAAGCCCCTTTCTCTCCTGGCCCTGTGCAGGGCACCCACATCCCGCTGAGAGCAAAGGCCTTGCAAAGCATGGGAAACCCCTATAAAAATAATAAGTAAGGAAAAATAAAAAGATAAATGTCGAGTGCAAGAAAAGACCTCAGTCTGCTGCTGCTGTGGCTTCCCGCAGGGCCCAATGTGCTTTCTATTTTCTGCCGGTCTGGGCAGCATTGCCTAAATACGGCGCCTCCTCTGTAAGGCCCGGGCCCTGGGTATGCGATCGGAGTTTGCCTGAGCTGCGTCCTCCTTGTGAGGGACTTTTGCAGGTGAGCAGGAGGTGGGTGGGGCTGCAGGAAGCCAGGGTGGATGGAGGTGTAAGGCCTCCTCCCCAACCCAGCTGAACCTTTCCAGCTAGGAAAAGAAGATCAAAAGTGAAAGCTTCTGAAAGACCAGGAATAGAGGGGAAGTAAGAGAGAAACTGAGAAA